GCGATCTCGGCTCACCACAACCTCCGCCTCCTGGGTTCAGGCAATTCTCCTGCCTCAGCCTCCTGAGTAGCTGGGATTACAGGCACGCGCCACCATGCCCAGCTAATTTTTTGTTTTTTTTAGTAGAGACGGGGTTTCACCGTGTTGACCAGGATGGTCTCGATCTCTTGATCCACCCGCCTCGGCCTCCCAAAGTGCTGGGATTACAGGCTTGAGCCACCGCGCCCGGCCTAAAAATTTGTTTATTTTTTATTTTTTAAGACGCGGTTTCACCATGTTGGTCAGGCTGGTCTTGAACTCCCGACTTCAGGTGATTCGCCCGCCTTGGCCTCCAAAGTGCTTGGACTACAGGCGTGAGCCACCACGCCCGGCCTTCTATTTTGTTAATCTCTGTATCCTTTCGGGGTCTAGGAAGAGTCTTGCTCCAATCTGAAACATCTTTCCTTCGTAAAATTCCTCATCGGGAGCTGGGACTGTGAATTTTTGCAACGTTTAAGACCTATCTGTCATTTAAGCAAAAATGCTCCACTTAACTTGTTTAGGGTTCGGTAGCGCGAGTAAGACCTTTTTAGGATACGCTGTCTCGCAGGTGGTCACACACCTATGGATCGCTGCCGGGACCCTTAGGTTTGTCTGCAAACACGTGGGTGATAAGCGCTACCCTCCAGGCCCTCCTCTGTCCACGGTGATTGGCGGACCAAACGTTCCAACCATCCCTCCCCGCCTCTTTCGGCAGTAGCCAATCAGAGACCCCGAGCGCCTCCTGACTACTAGACACTGTTTACTAACAGAACGAAGCTGGGGAATAAGGGGTGTGACCATTCTGGGGAGGTCAGGGAAGGGAAGGTCTTGACTGCGCGTGCGCGCCAGAGGAAATGGGCGGGGCAGAGCTTTGGGTCTTACCAATCGGAGCGGCCGCGCTCCTCCCTCTCCTGCCTCCCCGCCAAGCAACAACAATTCGAGGAGCGGGGCGGGGAGGCCCGTGAAACGTCACGGGAGACTGCCCAATGAGAACCGGCGTTGGCAGACGCGCGCGCCCTGTGCCCAATCAGTGAAGGCGGCTCGAATGGCTACCCTACCTTGCTGGCTGTGGGCGGAGCGGCCTGAGGAGGCGGCGGTGGAGCAGGGGGCGGTTTGGTTGCGCGGTACTAGCGGTGCCCGCCGAAGGGGGAGGAGGCGAGGAGCAAGCCGTGCGGCCAGAGCGGGAAAGAGACTCGTCCTTGCGTCCGAGTTCTGGAGCCGCTGCATCCCGGTTCCTGGGGCTGCGGCAGCGGCTGCGAGGGGACGGGCGTCCGCTGTCTCCCAGGTTCCCCTAGTAGCGACCCGCGGGATCGGAAAAGGAGAAGATGGAGGAGGAGGGCGGCAGTGGCGGCGGCGGCGCCGCGGGGACCAGCGCGGATAGCGGCGACGCGGGAGAGCAGCTCCTCACTGTCAAGCACGAGCTGCGGACCGGTGAGCGACCCCGCCCTCTGCCGGTCGGGCCCGGCGCGGGGGCGCGCCTGAGGGCGCACGGGTGCCCGCGCAGGGCTGGGGGCGCGGGGCTGGAGCCGTGGGCGAGGAGGGGCGGGCCCGCGGTGGGGCGTCGAGGGCGGCGTGCGAGCCCCGGGGGTCCCGGGGGGTGGGGGCGCGTCCGGGGGAGGCGGCCAAAAGTTTTACCGAGCCCGGGAGTGAGCGGCGGGCACCTGGCATCGGGGCTAGCGCAGCCGCCGACCGCTGCCCATGGCACGCACCTCCGAGGATGTCGCTGCTCCCCCTTCCCGCACAGGTGACACTTGTGTCTCTGCGTCCTGTCGGGGAGAAAGGTGCTCCTGCCTCAGCGTGGGGCAAGCGGCGCTTTGTTTTGGAGCGTGACTCCCTGCTCCGCCCCTCTGCTCCCCTCGAGGGGGTCCTGGTGGCGCTCTGTGGAACCATCCCCTAAGGTGCTGGGGTCCCGTAAGAGATTAATGGAGGGTTGCGACTCGGGCTTTTACCAAGTCCAGTCTCTAGAGACATGAACAGGAATCGCGGGCTGCAGGGATTGATTGCCTTTATTCTCACTTATCATGAAATACTATACTTGGCCTTGAATTTCCTTGAGAGGTCTCTGGAGATGATGGCTCTGTAAATTTAAAGCTCCAGGTAAAAGGAACGAACGGGCCGGCTTCAGCGGTTACTTTCTAATGTTTGAGATCACTGTGGTTGTCCTAAGCTTTATAACTAATTAAATGTATTTGTTGTGTAGGTCCGGGTTTTTCGTTTTGGAAAATGCATATTCAGACCAATCAGTACAGTTTGGTTCATATTCTTGGAGCCCAGTCTCGTATTGGAGATAATATTAGTACTTGTTTTCTCTGAACAGATAATACTTTCTAATACGTCGTTCGTTATGATTAGATATGTTTGTGAGCGTTGAAGGTTTTTCACAGAGCTTCTTTGGCATATTGGAATTTTTTTTTGAGACGCAGTTTTGCTCTTGTTGCCCAGGCTGGAGTGCAGTGGTGCAAACCTCTGCCTCCTGGGCTCAAGCAATTCTCCTGCCTCAGCCTCCCGAGTAGCTGGGATTACAGGCATGTGCTACCATGCCCAGCTAATTCCGTATTTTTAAGAGAGAAGGGGTTTCTCCATGTTGGTCAGGCTAGTCTTGAACTCCCGACCTCAGGTGATCTGCCTGAGTAGGCCTCCCGAAGTGCTTGGATTACAGGTGTGAGCCACTGCGCCCGGCTGGGGTATTCTTTAATTGTGAAGGCACAAAGCTTAAATAGCAGGTTTCAGGTGTTCACCTAGTACATCTTGTTTCTGTTTTAAACAGATTGGAAGGTCACCTCTGTTCGTCAGTTCTTTCAATTTTTGTTAATTTCTACTGAGATTGCTTATTAGCATTCCATTGGGTGCCAGTGTGGTGACTTCATTCAAGAGAGATGTCAAATTCATGCTTCTTAAGTCAACATTTGTAATAATTGTTTTTTTGGTCATTGTGAATCTGTTACATCTCTTGAGGCAGTTATTACATATTTTTGAGTTCTTAGCATAACCTGTATGGATTCAGGTGATTTGGTTTTTCTTCTCTCAATTTCATAGACAAACATTTTCCAAAAGGCTCTTACATAGTTTACTCAGTATACATTTATTCTGATTTGTGGCAGGCTCTGTGTCAGGTGCTTTCTGGTGTGAAGATTGTGAATTTTTTTCTTGTCTTACATAATGATCCACTGATTTATATGTATGGAATCCTACTGTACAGCAAAAGCTACTTGAAGTCATATGCCTCCCTGTCGTCTGCTGTGGTGCAACAAGCAGCTTTTTGCTAAATGACCAAGGAGCAACCTGCTTGTTATTAGTAGTTAACCAACTGCTCAGTTTCTGGATTTTACGAACAATGCTAGTTTTGTAGAAAACAGTGAGTACTGCATTATTTCGCCCTCTCTTCTAACTGTGTGAATCATCAGCTTCAAGTTTGCATTTTAGAAATTTTTCTGATGGATGGTGAGATTATACTGAATTCATTAGTACTGTTAACTGTCAAAGGAAATGAACAATCATTTTGATTTATTACTGAACCCTGGAACAACTGACCGGATATAGTGGTCAAAAACACTGTTAAAATATAACTTGAAAGAGTTGCTCATCTTCAGCCAGCTGCCCTTCTTTCAGCACATGATGTTATAATAGGCACCAAAGTAATTTGATCTGATATGGTCCCGACTCAGAATGTGGACAGGCATCTAGTTATATCAGGCTGGCAGTTGGTGGTTGCTCATTTTTGCAGAACACTTTATTGTATTCCGTAGGATGAATGAAAAAGCAAAAAATGTCCCATGAAAGGACATGGAGTTGGAAGACATGATTCTAAATCCCATCTCTCTGCCGCTTACTGTGTAGACATGGGCAAGTCACTTCACCCTTTCAGATTCGAATCTTTCATCTACAAAATGTGAGAATTGAATGAGACACCGTTGGAAAAGTGCTAAGCAGGTTGTTTGGCATATAGTGAGCCCTTAGGAAACGTTAGTTGAATGTGCATATAAAAATCACTTCATAATAGCATCTTATCTTGAACTGTGTGATTTAATCCAGTGTAATTTGGGAAACAAATCACTCATTAGTGCTTAGCTTATGCCACACTGCCTATTATCTTTTTCTGTATATGTCCCGTCGTCTCATGTATAGTGTAAATTTGCCATAATCTTTGTGGCCACTTACCAGCCTGTGTGTATCTCTTTAGTAACATTTAACACAGAGTCCATTTACTTGTCTGTGTTAGACTGTAAGGTCCTTGAGGGCAGGCAGGCACCATGTCCTTTGTTTATTTGCAACTGCTGACCTATAGTAGGTACTTAATATTTGAATGAATTCATTGAATGCATGAGAACCCAGGAGCAAGTCTAGTGAGTTTATTGTATTACAGTGCCTTGCAGATATTACATGGTTGATAAGTGGATGACAGTGACTATAAAAGCTGAAGAATGCAGAGCATAGAATTAGGCAGATCACTTAAACATAACATTTCTCGAGCATCGACTAAGAAAATATCCTGCCCTCTAATAGTAGGGGAGGAGGCCATATAAACCAGTGATTAAGATAACACTGCCATAAGTATAATAGGAAAGGGATATACAAGTATAGAGTTAGCAAAGAATGTGTTAGGACATTTAGCTTTCAAATAATCAAATCTGATGCTTCAACAATAACAACAAAAAGGATATTATTAGAAGGATATTGGGTTATCTTATTTATCTAGTAAATATTTTATTTCCTCTTACATACTAGGAGCTGTTTTAGATGCTGGGGTGATAGGACATGTATGGTCTGTCCCTCGGAAGAACAGGGTTGCATCAGGAACTATTGGTACCAGAGACTTATCATTGTCTGTATTTTGTCCACCTTGAATCTCCGCTTGTCCCTATGTGTGGCTTCATTCTTCCCCATCACTTTTCCCATGTGGGAAAAATCATGCTGTTGGTAGACTCCAAGTTTTATATCCTTCAAGCTTTCGCTACTGAAAATACACCACCTTTTTCTCAGCTTCAGTTATAAAGATCTCAGGAAAGGACTTTTTTGGCTTGCCTTTAGGTGAGGTATCCACTTTTGGATAATTCACCTAAGGCCAGGGGATGGGATCATGTTTTTGTAACATGGCAGCAACTTTAGTAAACATGGATGGGGTTAAACTAAACTCTAAGAAGAGGAAGACTTGCTGGGATGACATTTACTTAGATGCCTGTCATTAGGAGAGAGAGCCTAACTCTGAGGAGAAGGTTGAGGAAGTTTATTGTGGTGTAACAAATTACTCCAAACCTTAGTGGCTTAAACAACATGATTTCTGTGGGTCAAGAATTTAGGAGTGGCTTAGCTTGTTGGTTCTTTTTTTTTTTTTTTTTTAATTGTAAGTGAATTAACACAGGAAGCTTCTTGGTTCTAACTCAGGGACTCTCATGAGGTTGTAGTCAAGATGTTGGCCAGGACTGCAGTCACCTGAAGACATGTCTGGATCTGGCGATTACCCTTCCAAGATGGCTCACTCACATGTTGGCAGGATGCTCAGTTCCTTGCCATGTTAACCTCTCTATAGTGTGGCTTGAGTGTTCTCATGGCAGGCAGCTGATTTTCCCAAGAACAAGTGATTCAAGGGAGAGAGCAAGGTGGAACCCACTCTGCCATGTCTTTTGTTGTTTTGTTTTTTACAGACGGGATCTATCCAGGCTGCAGTGCAGTGGTGTGATCAAGGCTCACTATAATCTCAAACTCCTGGGCTCAAGAGATTCTCCTGCCTCAGTCTCCTGAGTAACTCTGGGACTACAAGCATGCACCACCACACCTGGCTAATTTATTATTTTTTTTGAAAAGACAGGATCTCACTGTGCTCACACTGGTCTCCAACTCCTGGGCTCAAGTGATCATCCCACTGGGGCCTCCCAAAGTACTGAGATTACAGGCATGAGCCAACATGCCTGGCAAAATTAATCCATTTTGTAGCATGCATCAGTACTTCATTTTGTTGTTGTTATTGTTGTTGATAAATGGTGTTCCATTGTGTAGATGTACCAAGTTTTGTTTATCCATTCACCAGTTGTTTGAAATTTGGGTTGTTTCCACCTTTTGGCTATTGTAAATAATGCTGCTCTGCACATTTGTGGACAAGTTTTTGTGTGAACCTGTGTTTATTTCTCTTGGGTAAATAGCAGCAATAAAACTGCTGGATCACTTGTTAAAACAAAGTTAAACAAAGTGTATGTTTAACTTTGTAAGAAACTTCCAAACTGTTGTCCAGAGTGGCTGTACCATTTTATATTCCCATCAGCAATGTATGAGGCCTCCGATTCCTTCACAGCCTAACCAACAGTATTGTCTGTCTTTTTGCTTACCATAGGAAGTGTGAAGTGATTTTGCGTTTCCCTAATACCTGACAAGCATCTTTTCATGTGCTTATTGGCCATTTGTATACCTTTGGAGAAATGTTGATTCAGATCCTTTGC